GTTGCTTACACTTAAAAGCTAGCAACAAAGAGTATTTGTGCAGTTACAAGTGCACAAAGCTGAATAAAAATCTGGACAAAATGAAATAAACCCAACTTTCGTTTTTCTATTTTACTCTTAATCTAAGAACTTAGTAATAAATTCTAAGGACCTAATGTACAGCATGGTGACTAGAGTTAATAATACTGTACTGTATACTTGAAATTTGCTAAGAGAGATCTTAAGCATTTTCACCAAAAAAAAAAAAAAGTGAAGTGTGGATGTGTTAATTACCTTGATTGTGGCAATCATCTCACAATGTGTACTTACATCAAATCATCACGCTGTACACTTTAAATATATACAGTCTTATTTGCCAATTGTACCTCAATAAAGCTGAGGAGGGGAGAAATTAGTGATATTAAATTGGCCCATTTAACAGTGACATCTCAATACTAGCTCCAAAGTGCCACTTGGAAATACACTGGATTCTTGGCAATATGTGGAATGGGGAAGGAAGGCTGAATTCTATGCTCACGTTTTGAAGGCAAGACGAAGAATACCATGATGAATTAAATTTAGTCATTTTTTAAATGAAAAATGTTGTTGAAACAATTAAATGTTTACCTTATCTTAACCAATTAATCAACAACAATTAGAGAACAAGTGCTATGTGGATCACTCTGGCTATACCAAAAGGACAATCGAGCAGTGACAATGGTGATAATAGTGGTGTTTGGGTAACATGCAAGGCAAGCTGGCTACTATAAAAGAAAGGGTTTGGGACTAGAAATCAGGAGACAGGGACTTCCCTGGTGGTCTACTGGTTAAGACTCTGTGCTCCCAATGCAGGGGGCCCAGGTTCAACCCCTGGTCAGGGAGCTAGATCCCATATGCCACAACTAAAGATCCTGCATGCCTCAACTAAAGATCCCGCACGCGGCAACGAAGATCTCCCGCGCCGCAAGTAAGACCCAGCACAGCCAAATAAATAAGTAAATATTTTTTTAAAAAATCAGGAGACAGATATTCTAGTATTGGACCTGCCAATCACCTGTGATCCTGGGCAAGTCGTGTGAATTCTCTAGGCCCTAGTAGTTATCTCATCTATTAGATGACAAGGTTGTCCTAGTTGAAAAATTCTAAAGCTTGGTCGTACATTAGAATCACCTGAAGAGCTTTTTTAAATGATCAACATCTGGGTCTCACCCCAGGCCACCTAAATCAGAATCTCTGGAAATGAGGCCAGCCTCTTGTACTTCTATAAAGCCTCGCAGGGTGACTCTAACGTGCAATGAAGTTTGAAAACCACTGCTCCCCTTTCACTTATTCCATACCTTGATTCTGTGCCAGACTAAGAAATTATGTTAACAGTTGAGAATAATCAACTTAAAAGTAAAAACTCTGATTAATCGTCTACTGGCAGGGAAATCTTTCCTGATGACCAGCTCAGGGCTGAGTGCGGTAATCCAATCTCCTTCCACATACAATCACAGCATGAATACATTATGTTATAGATGTCCACTTACATGTCTTCTCCATTAGACTCTAAGTTAAAGTGACCAGATAATTTACGGCCCAAACCAGGGCTCCTTTGAAAAGTGAAACGGGAACTTTTCAAATTACACCCCTATCTGTCTGTATGGTCACCCTACTCTAAGTTCCTTAAGTGCTATGTCTTATCCTCCTTTGATTCCTCAATGCCTAGCACAGTGTCCAACTCACAGGAGGTGCTCAATACACTTGTATGGAACAACAAAGGTAAGTACCCATTTGGGAGTGGTTAATAAATTACTCAAGCTCCATGGCCACACAGCTATCTCAGTGCTCCTAAAAATAATTCCTGGTGTTTAATGGCATCCTTAGCACATCACAGATTCATTTTCACAGGGTAAATGATATTCTATTTGACATAAAAATAAAAATTGAAGTATAACATGACTTGCTCAACATCATTCCCCATCTTGTTAAATAAAGTACATGTAAACTCTTGAAGCTTGGGATTAACATACACAGACTACTATATATAAAATAGATAAGCAACAAGGGCCTACTGTATAGCACAAGGAACTCTACTCAATATTCTGTAATAACCTATAAGGGTGAAGAATCTGAAAAAGAATGAATATATGTATATGTATAACTGAATCATTTTGTTGCACACCTGAAACTAACACAACATTGTAAATCAACTATATGCCAATAAAATCTTTTTTAAAAGATTTTTAATTTTTAAAATAAATAAACTCTTGAGTGCAATGGTATGTCAAAATCAACAAGCGTCTAGAACTTGAAATACAAATTTTGTTCTATTAAATTACAGAATAGTTGAAAACCTTTTTGTAGATATGAATTATTAACTCAGAAAAAAAAGAATACCACTTTCAAGTAACTCTTGAAAGAACTGCTGGCCATTCTATAGAACAATGTTTCTCAGCAGGGCTCATATCTGGAAGCCTTCCTCCAGTTCTCTAAGCTCTAGTGTTTGGGCAAAGGCTGGCAGACCTGAATTAAACACAGCCATCATAACTACACTTTCTTTTACAGAAGTGCAAATATTTTGCTTTGGGAAAACTGCCTTAAAATAACCAACTTTTAAGTAAAGCATTTAAACTATAAATTCACCATTTTAAGTACTTAAAATCTGGTCTAACTATAGTTAAAATAAAATTCTATCTTTTGTACAAATCCAAGTAAAAGTAACACTGCTAAGTGCATTAATACTATAAAGACAGGTGAAACTGGTTAACTACTACTAGTAGTAACAACAACAGCTAACATTTGTGCACGTTTCTATGCCAGGCACAGTTGGAAGCACTTTACAGACAGTAACTCATTTAACCATGCTATCAGGGAGTACTCTTATTATACTCATTTTACACCCTAGCCGATTAAGTAACCTGCCTCAGGTTACAGCTAGTAGGTCTTGGGGCTAGAATTTGAATCCAGTTACTCAATGGCCAAAACCCGCCCTTTCCAGCAACATGCACTGCTGGAAAGTTCACATACGCAGTTTATAGCACTGTCAACTGAGGCAATCCTTTCAGAAAGCAATCAGGAGCCCTGAGAATTTTCTTCTTACCCCAACTGATACAAGATAGATATCTGGGGGTCTATCATACTTGCTAAAATAGATTCACCTCAGCTCTGTTTAAACAAAAATGTTTAACAACTTAAATGCCTAATAATAGGGAAATGGTTAAACAAAGGATACTCACTATAATGACAACTAAGAATAATGGCTAGGAAGACTACAACAGCTGAAAAAAGTTGGTAACAAATGCAGGATTCCCTGCTATCTGAAAGCAGAGCCTTCCAACGAAAACTTTTGTAAGCCAAAATGATGTCAAGTGAAGAAGCAATTATCTTTGGTTGAAAAATCCTTTTAGGATTTCTTTTGATTAGTGAAAACAGGTGCTAATGCAGGTCCTTCGTAAATGTAAAAGCAAAGTGACATAATGTGAACTTTTGAAAAAGCAGGGGATACCTGTACTGACCTTCTGAAAAGCAGATATAAGACTACTTACGCACTTGCGCTATGTTTACAATTATATATGAAAAGGCTGACATAGCTGCACTCAATATATTTCTGCTATTCAAATGTTTTAAACAGAATATTACTTTTATAAGAAAACAATGCACACATTTAAAATATATTATAAAACCATACATGAAGTGTACACTAATATTCAAATATATGTGCACTTCAGCAAATGCCTTCATCAAAGACAGACCAATAGAAGAGAAAAAGGATAGTCTGCCCTTTGTCACAATGTAAGTTTCCTATTTGGATAACCAAGTACAACTTTACTGAGCAAGATTCTCTTTTATTCACTCTACTAGGTATATGTAGGTATATTCCCCAAGAACCAGTAGAAAGGGTCAATCCCATCATCCCTGTCAGTCCTGGCCTGGCTACTAAAAATAGAAACATCTTACAGCTGGAGAAATGTTGAGAGCTGTCAACAAGTCACCTGACCTCCATGCTTTGGTTTCCACATCATTAAAAAAGAAACTAAAGTATAACCCAAATTACTAGAGAGTAATGGATTAAAGTTAATAATATCTGAAAAGGAATGTAAGAAGACAGTAAACTCCACAAACATCTTAAAGTACGCCGTCAGCATCCTCAGTTTCAAGGCCAGACACTAAAGGAGCTGGGGTGTGAATCCTTTCTCTTTGACACTGACAATCCCCTACAGGTCCCCCTTTATAAATGCATCTCCAAAACCCCCGCCCTTGGGGATTCCCTGGTGGCGCAGTGGTTGAGAGTCCGCCTGCCAATGCAGGAGACGCGGGTTCGTGCCCCGGTCCGGGAGGGTCCCGCGTGCCTCGGAGGGGCTGGGCCCGTGAGCCATGGCCGCTGGGCCTGCGCGTCCGGGACCTGTGCCCCGCAGCTGGAAAGGCCCCAGCGGTGAGAGGCCCGCGTACCGCAAAAAAAAAACAAAAAACAAAAAAACTCCCGCCCTCAGCATCCACCTACAAGGTCTTCATCATTTCATTCCCTCAACAACTGTAAACATATTTACACTAGTTAACGGCTATTGCATAACATTTTAAGATTTTCATGCTTTTCATATCTTTTTATGCGTTTATATTACAAAAATCTCACAGAAGAGCACCTTTTCTCTAACTGGCTTGTTGGTCCCTTTCACTAAAAGTCCAACCCCTAACTCGCTCTACCCACAAAGTTCAGTCCACAGCAAATGCCGACCTGAACTGGAAATCAATTCTGAGCCCTACTTTAGATCTAGCGCCAGTTTAAAGAGGTCATTTCTACACCTAGAATAAAATCCTAGAAGGAAACCCCAAGTGTAGTGGTTCAGGTCTTTGATTGTGATAAAGTATAAAAACTGAGCTTTTTCTAAGTTTGCCGACCACACAATAACACCGTCGGAGGGCGTGTGAAGGCATGAACTTTCTAAAAGGTCATAAGACCTTCCGGAAAGCAAAGTGAAACTTAGCGTGGGTTCACACCCCCGGCCTCCGGTCGCACCAGCAGTGCGTGCACTAACGAAAACGCTTGCTTACAAGCAGCACTGATCACACCCCGGTTGCACTGGGCTCCCAGCGGCTACAGAGTCCCGCGCTGAGCGGGAAGAGGAGCCCCCGAGCTGGGCAGGGGTGGGGTCGCGCTCCAAGCGCTGGGGACGCAGGGGGGCGGCGAGGCCGGGCCCTCCCCGAGGCCGAGCGGGGCCCACGCCCCCGGGCTCCGGTCACCCCACCCGGCCCGCTCGGCTACCCGGGCTCACCGGCTCCGGCGCTCTCCATAGCGCTGGCGTTGGCTGGCGGCAAGTCTGTGCAGGCGGCTGCGGCCTGGCGCTGCAACCTGGGGCCAGCCGGGAGGTGGGTGCGGAGGCGGAAGCCGGGGCGGGGCCGGGGGTCGGCGGGCGAGGCGCGGAGGCGGGGCGGGGAGCGGGGGGCGGTGGGGGCTCGGGCCGCGGCGACCAGGCCTGCGGAGGCGCCGAGGCACCAGAGCCGCAGTCCCCGCAGAAGCTGCATGCCCATGTCGGGAGCCCGGAACGAGCGGAAGGGGCCGACCCGCTGCGGCTGCGGTACCGGATTCCGGCGAGAGACGCGGGCCCGGCGCGGGGAGGGCCGGGGGCTCCTCTCTGCGCTGCGACGCTCCGCCCCCGCTCCCGGCCGGGGCCCCCAGCAGCCTTTGGCGGCGCTCAGCAATCTCCAGTGGCGCGGCCTTTAGCGTCCAAGTTTGGAGGGGTGAGATTGGGCCTGGGCTGAAAGCGTTCCCCGATCCTGGGTCTCTTCAGGATCCATGTGTTTAGTTTTAAAAAGGGCTTTCAAAACACAGAGTTGTGATTAAAAAATATTTGGGAAGAGCGAGATGTATAGGAACGAGACCTTGTCCACCTGTATAATTAGATAATTTACTTTGCTTTAAAGAAAAAAACCCAAATTGTGGCGATATCTCAAAGTTTTAACAATGGTTTCACGCCTAGAAATTAAATGGAAAGCAGCTACTGGTGTTTGTAGGGTAAAGCACTAATATGAGTAAAAACAATTTAGTTAATTAATAAAATTAATAAATAAAAAAAACTTTTGAGTTTGGGTCAGAATTGTACTGTAGTTTTCTTTTAAGTGCAAAGAAACCATGCAGTAAGAAAATGAGGTACATCGCTCAACAAATTAATGTACCCTATTTTGCAAATGATAACACTTATCTTTTTTTTATTTATTTTTTATTTTTGGCTGTGTTGGGTCTTCGTTGCTGCGCGGGCTTTCTCTAGTTGCGGTGAGCGGGGGCTACTCTTCATTGCAGTGCGCGGGCTTCTCACTGCGGTGGCTTCTCTTGTTGTGGAGCACGGGCTCTAGGCGCGCGGGCTTCAGTAGTTGTGGCACGTGGGCTTCAGTAGTTGTGGCTTGCGGGCTCTAGAGCACAGGCTCAGTAGTTGTGGCGCGGCAACCACAGGCTTAGTTGCTCCGCGGCATGTGGGATCTTCCCGGTCCAGGGATTGAACTCCTGTCCCCTGCGTTGGCAGGCAGATTCTTAACCACTGCGCCACCAGAGAAGTCCCAGGTAACACTTATCTTGAATACATCCTAGAATGGAGATGGAAGCAAGGAACTCACTCAGCCACAATAGTTGACATCAAAACCATACACAAGAAGTCATAAAGCTTGTTACCCTAAAATAATTCTAGCAAGTTGGGTATCTGGTTTGCACACCCATAGCAATTATGGGCTGATTGGAGAGGGACAACAGATTCCTCTAAAATCTACGCTGTCCTGAGGGTGTGCAGGTGAACCAGACAAGTTTTTTCCTTAAGGAGCCGGTCACCTAATAGCAGAGAAAGAAACATGAGTAGATTGCAATAGGTAATACACTAAAAGAAAAAAAAGGAATCCACAGTCAACATTGAAGGGGATCAAAATATGCCACATTAGCATTAAGATAATTTTTGGAGGCAACTGAGAAACGGCAGATACTGAAGGACTCTCTGCCCTCCCCTTTCTGCCTAATAGCGGGGCATCAGTTTTACTTTGTGAAGGTGACGTAAGTTTCCACTTTTAAAGGCAGTGTAGGTACAGGGTCCTAACCACTGGACCGCTAGGGAATACCCGTGAAGGCACAGACTCTTTTAAAAGTGTTTGTTTTCCCAAGTGCATATAGCTTGTTCAATGAACAGTTGTTGAATGAATGAATAAAAGTTTTATAGCCATCAGACCTGTACTGGTATTTGTTTAAAAAAGAAAGCAACACACCCAAATAAATTTCAAAAAAAGAAACAATGTCATGGGTAATCTTAATGTCCTAAAGCTTCACCAGCTTGAGGCTAAAAATCAGTTGATATTAACACTAATACCTAAATCTGGATAGCTAAATTGACCTATTTGTTCCAGCCAGAACTCCAGCCCCTAGTGAAATCCCTCCAAAATACATCTAGGGTTCTATACTGTGCCTGACATCACTAATGAATCTTCCAGGCTGCCACCATGCCCAGTCCTTGTCTCACTGGTCCAGTTTCCTTTCCAGAAAGTCCTCTGTCCACACCAGACATCAGCTGATTGGTGGTTCACTTGGTCATGATGGATCTTCTCAGTCCTCAGGGTGACAATCTCTTGCAAATGAATAGAACAATTCCTCCACCACATGTTATTACACTGCTTAGTGGATAGGGCACAGTGACTGATGCCAGGAAAATTATTTGGACCTCTGAGAGATATAGAATTCATGGAGATAGCATGTTCCTTTTGTTAAAAACGAAACAACAGGCCCAAAATGGAGTCGCTTATGCTAAGCCCCACGTCACCAGAGACTTATAGTTTCTATTCTCCCAGAAATGGAACCTAAAACCAGTCAGTTAGGAATCGTCTGATCAGCACTAGTTAGGTAATCTGCCTGATAGGCCCCTGCCATCCCCTAAAGGGAAGTAACCTTGCAATAACGGACCCAATCTTTTGCCTAGTATAACTTCCTTGTTCCCACTCCCTTCTGCCTATAAAAATCTTTCATTTTGTACCTCTCCTTGGAACTCCTTTCTATCTGCTAGATTGGATGTTGCCAGTTTTGAATTGAGTTTTTGCTCAAAAAACTCTTAAAATTTGTAATATGCCTCTGTTTATCTTTAAACAGTTCACACATACAGCCCTTTTTCTCCCCAGATGACAGTGTACACTGCCAAGATAACTGGATTGGAAGGGTTCCAGTTCAAGCTACCACACTTTTCCTATTCCTCCGCCCACCTCTGACCTCCGACCTCCAGGGCCTGCTGCTGAATTGGCATATTTGTTCTGCCAGGCTCCTTCTGTGTGGTGAGTTCTCTCTTTAGTTCCCTAATTCTCTTTTGTGGTGTGGTCCTGTCCCCATAACCAAAATAATTGTTGTTTTCATTCTGGTCCTAGGAGTTTCTTCGGTCCTCCCCATCAACTACAGCTGTAAATGTTCATCAAGTAGTGAAATGGAGCAGGACCCTGTGGGGCCCTCCTGGTACAAATCCTTTCCGTGTCCCCCGTTTCCTGTTTGTAGGAAATAGGCTTCATTCAGCCTCCTTGACCCTCCCTGAGTTCCAAAGGCAGATTCAAACAGTTGCTAATCAAGGAAGAGAGGGAATTCAGAAAAAAGGGAGGAACAGTCAAGAAACCATCATGCAGCCTTGGGGCAGGGTCCTGGTTCCTCTCAAGGAATCTACATAACAGTATCTTTGAGTTCTTCTGCAGAAGATTCCCCCTGGTGGAGGGTGGTAACTTCAGACTGAGGGCAAGATTCCTGGAGCACTGCCCTGTTACCTCACCACCGACAAATCAGAAGAAAGTCATACACCTTGTAGCCCTCACCCCAAATTTTGCCTATAAAAACTTCTGCAAAACAAACCATCAGGGGCTTCACAGTTTTTTAGGCACGAGCCACCATTCTCCTTCCTTGACCCTGCAATAAACCTTTCTCTTCTCCAAATGCTGACATTGACCCTGCAATAAACCTTTCTCTGCTCCGAATGCTGACATTGACCCTGCAATAAACCTTTCTCTGCTCCAAACTCTGACATTTTGGTTTGTTTGGCCTCACTGTACATCAGGCACAGGAATTTGCATTCAGTAACAGGAGGATGAAGTCATGCAGTTCTACAGGACATGGTCAAATACCAGTAGAAAGTCAACTGAGACCTTTGGTGGCCCAAGGTGACTCAGGATGACATTTCATTTTGTTGGAAGAGGGACATGTGTTTAACAATAAAATGTGCATGCTTTTCAATTAATGTTTGAGTATAGTATTTGTTTAAGAAATCATTTTTATTACATTAAAAAATAATAATAAAGGGGCAAAGGGAGGCCATGTTTATTACATTAAAAAAAAAAGAAATCACTACACCTATTTCATAATAGATTTATTTCAGTAGCCAGACACAGTTAAAGAGCCTGATAATATTAAAAATCAGGGTGAACATTTTAAATTATTTTAAATATTTCTGACTTCAAATTTCAAATTTATGTACATAAATTGTACTGTTTTATACAATTTTTAAATTCAGAAAAACTCATGGAATAACATTAAAATGATCTATAATACATCAACCAGAAGTCTATCTCTCTAGATATACATATGCATACACACACCATTATAGTATATTTTTATAAAAATAGAATCATCTTGCATATGGCTTTTAGCCTGCTTTTTTCCTTGCAACATATTGTGACAAATTTCTCATGTCATTAAAAATTATTTTTTCAATGACTGCATATTAAATCTTTACATAAATGTATCACAGTGTATTTGATCAATTGCCTATTGATTATCGTTCAGTCTCATTTAAATACATCTCAGTTTTTTCATTATTAAAAATATCTCTATGATAAAACTGTATTCTATAAATCTTTGTATATATTTTTTATCATTTCCTTAAAACAAATTCCCAGAAAGAAGTTTGATAGGTAAAAGATTATGAATCATTGTAAGGCTTTTGAAATATATTGCCAAATTATCTACCAATTTACATGCTTATAAGCAGTTTATGAAATTCTAAGTTCTTTCCTCATTTTTCATTTGAAAGATAAAAATGCTTGTTATTTTACCTTGAATTTCTTTAATTGTTAATGAATCTGAATATTGCTGAATGTGTTTAAGAGCCATTTGCATGTCTCTATAAAAAACTTTTGCTTATTTTTCTTCTAGGTTATCTGTTTCTACTGCTTCATAAAATCTGTCTATTTATTAACGATTCTTTTATTTTTGCCGCACCGCACAGCTTGCATCATCTTAATTCCCCAACCAGGGATCGATCCCAGGCCCTAGCAGTGAAAGTGCTGAGTCCTAACTACTGGACCACCAGGGAATTCCCTATTTATCAATATTAATGATTTTAAAACCTTTGTCTTATATATTGAAAACAGTTTCCCTAATTTGTTATTTGCATTTTAAGTTGTGTGCAGTAGTTTTTGGCATGCAGAATTTGAAAATTTGTATATAGTCTTATGTATTAAGTTTCCTTAATGATTATATTTCTTTGCTGTAACAGTTAAAAATATTTTCCTTTCACAGGACTATTTATAGAGCCTTCTACATCCTTATTAAAATTCCTTTACTTGGAATGTATCTTTTTATCCCCCCTTCTTTTTCTTAATTTCTTAAGCAAAAAAAGAGAGCTAAAATGAGGGAAAATGCAAAAGTGGGATCCCTTTAGCTATGTATTTATCTGAAGGTCTCAGCCCCAGGTGGCCTATCCTTAGCTCCAAAAAGTGTCCTCACCACCTTCCTTTTCTCTCCCTGGAGTTTTCTGTGGCCAGCCCTGACATCTAAATTTCCACAGTAGGCATACACAAAAAACATGGCCTTCCTTTCCTGCCCCAGGACCCTTGCCACATATATTACAGCTGCCACACATATTACAGGTAGAGTGACCAATTGTCCCAGTTTGCCCAGGGCTGTTCATTTTTAGCACTGCAGGTCCCATGTCCCGGGAAACCTCTCAGTCTCTGGTGAAACAGATACAATTCTGATCCTCATACAGATGGAGAGAAATTAGATCATGTGTCCAAAGATTTCTCTGGGCTTAGAGAACCAGGAAAGGCTTGAAAGAAGAGGTAATATTTGAGACCAGCTCTGAAAATGGGTGGATTAAGAGAGCTAGAGTGAGAACCGATGGGGTGGGTCACACACTGAAGACTTGGGAGGCGAGACAGTACAAGTAGATGCAAAGGAGAGCCGTTCTCCCAGTTTGACTGGTTCAGGCGGCAGAGGACTGGGAGATAAGGCCAGAAAATTAGTTTAGGACCAGATTATAGGAGGTCTTAAATGCCAGACTAAGCAACTGGGACTCTATTACATAAGAATTAGGATTTGTTAAAGAACTTCCCTTGGGACTGACTTGGTGAAGGATGGCTCTAGAAAGACACATCTTTGAGGTCTGTGCAGGATTTATTGGAGAGGGCTGAGTCAAAACCGCTCATCTAGTCAGTTCACTGTGGTACTCCAGTAATCCACATGGGAGCGTCAAAAACCCAAGCTAAGGTGGTGTGCTAAAAATAAAATCAAAAGTGATAGATTTAAGAGATTGCAAAACAATAGTTGGTGAAACTTTGCAATCAACAATGTGGAGAAAGAAAATTTGTTGGCTGGCACAAAGAGGTAGAAGTGGGGTGAAACCGGTGCTCCCAGAGCAACCAGGAATGAAAAGGATGAAGAGTGAGAGGATGGAGAGAGGGGTAGGTGCATGAGCAAGATGGCAGAAAATGTGTGCTGGATGATGGACCCTGTCCTCCATCTCTCAGAGGTCTTCAGTAAAGTCAATAATTCAATCCACTGATCTTAAGTGTGAGTGAGTTTGTTGTAGAAACCAAAAAGAAAGCTGAGGAACATAGGGCACACAAGAATTCTTGGGCTTGGAGGCTGGAAGGGTCCTATAGTTGTAAGCACCTAAGATTTTGAACTTGAACTTTCACATGCCATCAGAGTTTGAGGCAGTTTCACTGGATCTTGAGGGGCAGGAGTGACATTCAGCTGGGTTCCATTTAGATGCCCACAGAAAGACAGAGATACAATAAAGCAGGAAAATTGAGGAATATTGGGAGTATAAAGTCAGAGCAAGATGAAGCATTGATCTTAGATAGGAGAGATGGGTGGGAAGTAAGCTGGGCTAGATGGATCTTGGTAAGTATTCTGATCAGATGGGACTGTGGTTAAGGGAGCAGCTTTCTAAAGGTGTCAGTTTCCCTAATGAAAATAGGTGAAGACATTTGCTGGAAGGAGAAGGCGGTACTGCAGGGAGAATCTTGCGATTTGGAAGTTTTATAGATGTACAAATCGTCCTTGAAACTGTGGGTTTGGATGAGGTCACCCAGGGAGAGTGTATGGAGTTAAGGGACTATGGATGGAACACTTTCACCATCTTTGTGATAACAATCGAAATTAAAAAAAAAAAAACAAAACATTTCATCAGCTGCCTAGATTATTACATGCTTACCACATTTCTTCCTTTCTGGCTAAGAATAAGACAGAATCGCTGTAAGAACATATTCATCTAGAACATGATTCTTCTTCTCCAGTCAGGTGAAAAGGGAACATTTACATATTGTAATGAATATGCTAGCTTGTATCATTACTCAGAGATAATGATGTTCCTAAATCACCATTTGGTTTAGTTTTTATAAAAACAGATCATGTCGGTTTTTCTACCCTAAAGTAGTTAGTGCACCTGACCACATTTTGGACACATGCCAAATTGGGAGATTAGACTTAACAGCTCTAATTATGCTTCCTGAATTTGATTAGTGCTGGGGATTCGTTTCTCATTTGATAGTTTATAGGATTTCTTACCTTGAAACTCTATGTTTTCTTGGCTATTTTTTATATCATACACATCATGTAAACCTTCATTATACTTTGCAGTAGAGCATTCTGCATTAATGATTTGTTGTTGTCACTCTCTAGTCAGATCTCCTGAATACTAAAAGGAAAGTGTTAAGAGGTATGTTAAATTCCACTTTCTGGGGTCATCAAGGCTGTATATTATTATTTGTTGGTTTCATCTTCCTCTTCACATGCTAGAAAGTATTAACGCAGTTTATGTTTAAATTTGTTATTTTTCACTTCAGTTATTTTCAGGGAGATATTAACATGGATTATATTAACAGGATATTAATATCTGGCTTAGTAGATTTCACATCTTTCTAAATTTAGTCATCTCATGGCTTACTTGGCATAAGTGTTCCGTGTTTTTTACCTGTGTAATTGATATTTAAATCATTACACAAGACTTCACTGGCAAGACTAATCTTATTTGCATGCCAATCAGAGTATAATTGACAATCATATTACGAGGTTTTCTTTGAATAATTAAGAAGTAGATGATATAAGAAATAGAAAAAAAAAAATAGAGTTTAAAAGTCCCAGAAGGAAATAGAATCAGAGTTCGAGGAAACTTGAGTCTATTCTCCCTTGTACAGTAAAGGATTTTCTTACTGATAGTCACCTATTTGAATACATTCACTACCTAACAGCTTTTTGCCTAGATAGTATGTGGTTTCAATTCAAAGAATATCTTTCATTGTCTATTGACACATATCTATGTAATGAAAGAAAGCCAAAATAATTATAATCAACAAAACTGGAAAAATCCCCTCTCTAT